CCCCCCCATCCCCCCCCCCAAAAAAAAAGGTATAGGTATTTAGTAAGGCCAGCTTATTACGCGCTTGATGAATTGAAAAGGCTACAGGCGCTTAAGATCTTCCTCCGCCCCTTTTCTCTAGCAGCGGGACCCATGAACACGAAGACTGCCTCGTTACAGAAAATCCTTATAGTACCCTTGCAGAACCATTTGAGGACCCAAACCCTAAACCCTAAACCCTAAACCCTAAACCGCAACCATTTGGCCGGGGCCCGCGCAAGCTTGGCGAGCATCCCGAAGACGCCCCAGGTCTGCCGGAGGTACCTCAGATCGGTTTAGAGTTCATTTTGGTTTAAGGTTTAGGGGTTTAGGGTTTAGGGTTTAGGGTTTAGGGTTTAGGGTTTAGGGTTTAGGAAATTCAACCCGGGGGGTCGTTTTGAGGAGTGCTCAAAGAAAAGGGTCCTAAACCCTAAACCCTAAACCCTAGGATCTCTTTGACTTATATTGGGCTCACTGAACTTCGCAGTAGAGCTTTAGGACCTGTCAGCCTGCCTTATTGCGTACGGAGCACGGCGGAGGCTCTATCAAATCTTATACTATGCCTGGGCACCTTTATTAGGCTGCGGTTCACTCGAAACGTCCCAACTTTGGTTTGCTCAACATTATGTTCCTGTGGCCAAACGTGCACTACTATCCGACAGGTACGTCGAAGAAGTCAACCCTGTGCCCTACTATACCTTCCTGTGGCCACAGGGCACTACTATCAGAAGGTACTTCGAAGAAGTCAACCGCATAAGTCCTAAACCCGCATTGAACCAAACCCTCATAGCACGGCGCAACGCCCCAAGGCAGGGGCCTTAATAATTTAACAACTAGACCAGGATTTTGAGGTATATTATGAATACTTGCGACAAAGGAGCCCTAAAATTAAACACACTTTGGTCATGATTTCGGCGTCGATATTAGCCCTTGAGACCCTAAACCCTAATGGTGCCAAAGGCACTCTCCCACGACGTACATGCCGTAATAGACGGGCAGTGGCAGCACCATGCACAGCACATTCACGGCGACATCTGCGAAAAGAGTCGAACGCCTCATGCAGGACGGCACTTGACCCTGCGAGCGAAGCAAGCTACCTGTCTGGAAACCCTGTCAGAACCCTTGTGATATGGAACCTTTAGTCTAGGACGTTTTCAGGTGGGTAGTTACCGTTATAGGAGCCTTATAGAAGGTCTATATACCTTATAGAAGCCTTATAGAAGTTCTATATACCCTAAACTCCCCACCTGTTTAAAATGGAAGAGGCCTTGCAAGATACCGAAAGTAGTAGCGGTGGCGGCATCAGCCACAACCATCAGAAACTTTACAGTCCATTGCTACATGTTTTTTTATCCTGCGGTGATATCTGCTGGATATGAACCGAGTTCTGGTACTTAGGTTTCGGGGCTTCGGGGCTTAGCTGTTTACGGATTTAGGCGTTTAGAGGTCCCAGAAATTCCAACTAACACCCTAAGCCCTAAACCCTAAACCATAAAACCCTAAACCCTAAACCATAAAACCCTAAGCTCTAAACCCTAAAACCCTAAACCCCTAAACCCTAAAACCCTAAACCCTGAACAGTAGACCGGTCTTCAGGCTCTAGGTTCCCCAGTGGTGTCTTGATCATAAGGGTACATGGATAGTTTTGTAAATTAGAGTCCCCTTTTTGAGGGTCCTTTTCATAAGGGTGCCGTACTCTATTGGGGACCCAACAAGGGACCCTAATTTAGAGAACTACCCACATCTCTACCTACTCTTTGGTTTGTTCAAGGAGACCCCCAAGACCAAGGAGCAAGTTAAAGGGCATTAATTACTGGGAGACCTAGATAAATCGAAGTTTCGTGTGCAGAGCTTTGGTGTACCTGGTCAAGAGGAGAAAAACAGACCATTAGACCCTGGACCCATAAACCCTAAACCCTGCACTCCACAAAAAACGTAAATCCCGAACCCCAAACCCTTAAACCCTGAGCCCTGGAGGCAGGCGCTGCTGCTTCAAGAATACAGCTTGTATGCTCAAGGCACAGGGCTTGGGCGGAGTGCGTGGGGGTTTGACTGCTGCTACGGGGTCGAAGGTTTAGGGTTCGGGCTTTGTTAGGTTCAGGGTCTTGGGATTCGTCCGGGTTTTGCACTATTTGGGGGTTTCCGTAATGTAGTACCCTAAATAATAGGATCCCTATTATAAGGACCCCAAAATAAGGTACCCGAATTTTTCTGAAACTCCCATTTGGGTTCGAAGATAATGAAGTGCAAGAAGTGATAGGGTCGGAAGAACTTGCGACATGGGGGTTTCAGAAAATAGGGTTTAGGGTTTAGGGTTTAGGGTTTAGGGTCCATATTATAAGGACCCCAAAATAAGGCACCCCTTATTTCGGAAACCCCCACATAGTTCCTTCGGCCTCGGATTCCCGAACCTTCGTTTCCGGGGGTAAGGCCCAGATGCTAGGATCGTAATGGTAGCTCTTATACTCTAAACATTTAAGCCCTAAACTTAAACTCTAAACCCTAAACCCTAACTTAAACCCTAAACCCTCAACCCTGATTCCTTTGGAGATAATATCATTCTGGCATCTATAGTCCAAGGACTCCCCCAGAGCTTCCCCGACGATTTTGGGATCTTAAGCGACTGCTTATCGGGTTTAGGGCTTGTCGCTACACGTCCCCCCCAAGAACTGTAAGGGGCATTAGCTCATGATTGTCCTAGGGATTTCAAGATACCATAAGGAGTAAAACCCTAAACCCTAAGTACTGTAGTACTTGTATTCGTACTTCTACAGACACAGGCTCCTACATTGCCCTTCCATGGAGACCAGCCATGCTCCATAACATCGGAGATTGGGAAAAAACCCTAAACCCCTAAACCCCTAAACTCTAAACCCTAAAAAATGCAAAACATCCTAAACCCTAAACACCTAAACTCTAAACCCTGAAAACTGCAAAAAAACTTAAACCCTAAACCCCTAAACTCTAAACCCTAAAACCTAAACTGCTCTAGGACTCTAGGTAAACTGTTGGGCCGCAAGCCGATTCCCAGATGTGTTGGCCCTCTGGGCGGTTAGGGAGTTTTGGGGCCTTTGGTGCACGGTTTAGGGTTTAGGTTTTAGGGTTTAGGGTTAGTAGGATTTCGTAGAGTCTTAGAGGGCTCTGGGTGAGGAGTTTGAACGCTCAAAGAGACGAGCGGAAAGTAGCTCGCGGATGAACGTATCTGCGGCCCACGTCTCTTCCAAAGTGCGAGATCTCCGACTTTGATGAAAAGGCCCAACCTAAACCCTAAACCCTATAAACCCTAAACCCTAAACCCTAAGCCCAAGCCTTAGAGTATCTGCGAGACATCCTAAGCTCGGCGATTTTGTTTAATACACATTTTCCCAGAGCCGACCACGCGCAAATCGCGACGCCCGCCGCCGGACGATTACAGTCAGGATGCGACAGCCTCCAACACCCGTGCACGAGGCGCGCACCCCAGCGGCATCGTGAACTGGGGTCGGAGACTCTCTGAGATGCGGATACCCTTCCTGCGCAAAACACTCGCATGCTCCGATGCTGCGGCACATACTTGTCCCGGCCGGGCCACCACATAGCCACCGACCGCAATCACATCGTGCACTCCTCGAGAGACCGTGCTGCTTGAGGGTGGCAGCGGCAAGGCGCAGAAAGTCCCCTAGCGCCCACTTGTTGGGGACGTCCATCACCTGAGTAGTCAATAACCACAGGGCTGTTCACGGATGCTACGACCTCGAACTGTTTCGACATGCCACAAATACGACGCGGACGGTGCGAGCAATGCAGCAGAGAAGCATGATGCGCCACAGAGGTGAAGTGAAACAACCCGAGCATCTTTTCGACGACCTCACCTGCTGTCCGCAACTCCATGTCCCCATCCATCTCTTTTGCACTCGTCTCTCTCTGTGTTTCCCTCTCGAACACTGACGAACATCCACAGCACGATGCCACCGACTGATTAGCTTTCAAACCGCGATGATTAAGCATCAATGCAGACTTGCCTTCGGTCTCCTCTTGCAGTGCACCGTGAACAAGGCGCTCCAGCAAGCCGCACATGTGCCCTTTCACGTTATAGGAGCTGGCCGTGCGGGCATGCGACAGGAAGTCAGCACCTACAGCCGCACATCCGACAGACTCAACTGGCAACACACTACAAAGAACCTTACACACCACGTACAGCAGCACATCCTGGAAGCACACCGCTTAGGTGCACGACCTCGGGCTTCCACGTCGCCGCCCCCCCACGCGGTGGCAGGCTCGGTCATTGAGCCAATGACATCCGCCTCGAGCCGCCAGCGGAGCGAGGCGAGCCGCTCGACGGCCGCTTGGGTGGCTCGCATGAGGTTGACCAGCTTCTTCCAGAAACTCGCGTGGACATGATCCCCGTCCAGGTCGCCACCTGTAGCCACCCACACAGCAACGTAGAGACTGTGCTAAAAAGGAGTCGAGAGGGCTCGCGCAGACAGATGACTTGACGGTGCATGCTGGCTCAGGCCAGTCTAGATGCCGAGTGCCCTGCCAGCCATCAGCGTGTTTCCGTGGCCCTTGTCGCTGTAGGTGATGGCGTTGTCGGCGACCGCCACGTCAGGACGGGGGGCCACGGCCTCCAGCAGCTGCACGTCGGTGACCGCGTAACAAGGATATCGCCACGCCTGAGGTTTAAAGCATGCAGATCCAGATATGCATCGGATTTACGCGTTGCCCAGTCAGCGACACTCCAGGAGTCTTTTGAATCTAGACAGGTTGCCACGAACCAGCCCACGAGTGCCACGCCGCCCCGCACCAGGTACACCTGATGCGGAGGTAGGCGGCTGGTCGTCTCGCACACTGCGACGACAGTAGCCGCTCGTCCAGGCCTCGAAATTATAGCCAGACTCGACAGAGCGGACACATGTCAGTTGCTAGCAGCTGGCGTCCGGAAAAAGGTAAGCGTCCGACAACCGCAGGTTGAAGTCGCCGCGGCGGAGCTTGCTTCGTGTGGAGCACAGTGCTGTTAACCCACGGGACAGTGCATACTTAGTGCCGTGTTTCCAGCTGGCAGCACCGGTTTCAATGGTCTCCCTTTCGAAGGGCCGAAGGTCCGTCTCCGCCTGAGGCCAGACCATACAGGGGCCGAGGCAGGGGAGCGATCCTGAAGGGATTAACCCCAAACTAATCCCTAAAATCCTGAACCCCGCAACCCTCAGCTGGCCTAAACCCTAAACCCTAAACCCTAAACCCTAAATCCTAAACCCTGAACCCTAAATCCTGAACCCCGCAACCCTTAGCTGGAAGGCCTATCTCGCAGGTTCCACATGAGGGGAAAGGCCAGGGCGAAGAAGATCGGCAATTCGCACAGCCACCTTTTAAAGGAAACTACAGGTGGGGGTTTAGGGTTTAGGGTTTAGGGTTTAGGGTTTAGGGTATAGGGTTTAGGGTTTAGAAGATGCCTTCCCCTAATTGAAGGAAACTACAGGTGGGGAGTTTAGGGTATATAGGGCTTCTATAAGGCTTCCATAAAGTATATAAACCTTCTATAAGGCTCCTATAACGGTAACTACCCACTGAAACCTAGACACCTGCGAAGGGCCATTAAAGGTTTATTAGGGTTTGGTTTACGGGTTCAGGGTTTAGGGTGAATTTAGGGTTTAGGGCTCAGGGTTTGGTTTAGGACTAATTTAGGGTTTAGGGGTGCAGGGTTTAGGGTTTAAGGGTTTTGGGTTTCGGGTCGCATGGCCACCTGAGCTGGGGGGCCTAGCAGCCCCAGCCGAGAAGATAAGAAAGGATTTAGGGTAGATTCTGCTGTAAGTGTAATTCATAAGGAACCTCCACAACACGATAGACATTCTGCATTACCCTAAGGACCCCAAACTAGCGGAATTATGGTATTCTCCTACTTATGGGTAATGCGGGTTAATTATTTGGGCCCCCATATTACATGACTTCAGAGTTTTGGACTAAGGGTTTCGGGGTCTGGGGCTGAGGGTTGACTGCTTTGGGGTGTGCATTCTCTCGGTATTTTCGGTCAGGGTTTACAGTTTACCGTTCTTGCTGCCAACAAAGACCCTCTAAACAATAGCAATGTGAAGACGAAACGCATGCACATGGCCTCCAAACTGTCATACCGTACAAGATCAAACAAATGCACACAACTAAGCAAAGGGCATCGATGCACAAGGCATCAAAGAGCCATGCCGTAAACATGGCCCAAATTAGGCGAGCTTTTATATGATCTCAGCTCACTTGGATACCATGCTGCTTCAATCTTGACAAGCCCTTAATCCACCCTGAAGCAGAGAATCTTGACACTAAACCCCAAGCCCCAAACTCTAAACCCTAAAGCGCACCCTGAAGCCAAAGCCCTGCAAGCCGTATGGGCAGCGATGAAGTCAACACGGAGTCATTGGCTCCGCCCCGGTCACCCTAAAACCGTTTACGAACCCCGAAACCCGCAATACTGCTCTATGGCTTGAATCTCAGTCGCGGCTAATTCTCATAGATGTTAGGCTTGGTTATGTCTCATAGTATAGGGATCAACCCTACACCGGGCAAAGCGCTTTAAAAGAGGGGAGCGGGGCCTTGACAGAACATACATGCTCCGTTCCGCGAGATGTCGCCAGTCCTGCTGCAGGGAAGGACGCGAAAGCCCTGCGCGAACCAAAACACGATTCCCCTCAAGCTAAGCCAGGCATGGTGTTAATATCATAAGGTGGCCTGACTCAGTTTCGTGCCATAGGTAGACAAGGAAGCCCCGCAGAGCAATACTCCTAAGTAGTATTTCGGATCCTATATTGGAACAATGTTCAGGTCTGAGCCTGAGGGGTTGTCAGGTTTGGGGTGTAGGACTATTCTTCGTCTGGGTCCTGATGCGTATCAGCAGTGATAGCCGGCCGATCGGTGGATAGGGAGCGAGAAGTCCGGGTTTAGGACTCAGCGTTTAGATTCTCTGGCAACTTAGGGTTTAGGGTTTAGGTTTAGGGTTTAGGGTTTAAGGTTAACCGAGGGTCGTAAAGACTGGAGGCTTTAACGCTCAGGTGTGGTTTCCACCCAGATACTGACATCGACTTTTCAACTGCCCTAAACCCTTGGAGCCCTGTCAATCAGAAGCTGAGATTTTGCGATCGCAAGATTAAGAGTATACTGAGTACACTATACCATGTGCCACTAAACTTTGATTGCTCTAAATTTCTCAGGGCCCTTACAGTATTACTGCCTGACCCTGAAGTCAGACCGTTGGCACTAGCTTCCTCATAGAAAGGGCTCTGAGAAGGGACCGTACTTGTAACTCATAACACCAAAGACACTCCAAAGTAGTCACTCAAGCCCGAAGCATATGACGCTGCAACCAAAACCCACACGCACACACACAACAGAAAAAACAACTGGACCCCCCCCCTCCCTGCACATAATTGCTAACTCCAAAACCTACAAGCCCTCACGCACCCCAAGAAACAAAATACATCCGAAATTGCACATACCTAGAGCCCCAGAAAGTAACGATCGACGACCTACAACCTACGCCCGGCAGCCGGCAACTCCTATTCTGACAACCTCAGAAAATCGCGAAGCCCGGGACATCATGTCCCGGCGCCCGGCCATTGGGATCCGAAATCAGGCGACCTCTTCTGCCATGGCAATTGCAAGCCCATCGAAGTGTGCCCAAACCTCATCGGTTTAAGGGTTTAGGGCTTCAGGGTTGTGCTTTCATTGAGTTTGCCACTTTGTAGCTTAAATATATACTCCCCCCCCCCCCCGGCCATATAGCAACAAGGCTACGATTAAGGCCCTACATGTCTATAATAAACCCCTTTCAGGCCAACGCCCGTGAGCCCTGGAATCCTAGAAACCCTACAACCCAACCCCTTTCTCCTCCTTTATAAGGGTCTTTTAGACTTTAGGGTTCGTTTGTGGCAGAAACGGTACATAAGGCTCACATGGTGGTGCTATAAGTGTACGTAAGGGTGCTCCATGGCAACATGCGACCATGCAGTGCATAATGAGTTGGTTCAGACTTGGGGTTTCGCCAGCCAAGGCACGATCGGAATACAGCAGCCAACCAGCATGTGGTAGGGGAACAGGTAGTTGCCGAGACGCTTCTCCTTATAGAGAGGTTTCGGTTTTAGGGACTAGTTAGGGTTCAGCGTGTCGAGTTTCGGGTCAGAGGTTCGGGCGGCAGTGTTGCAGTTTAGTAGGTTCTCAGGTTCTCACCGGGTTCCATAATATGATTCTCGTAGGGATTCAAGGGATTCTGACGGCGTTCTATGTGGTTTCATGAGGGGATCTGGGTGGTCAAACCTGGGGGAGACTTTCTAAAGCTAAGGCCGTCACAAGGCATCTTCTGAACACGGAGACGGCTGCTTCGGGTCGATGGTGCGGCCTTTACTTCTATGCATCATCATCGTCATCACCAAGAAGAACATTATAATCATGATGATCTGGGTAGTTCTCTAAATTAGGGTCCCTTGTAGGGTCCTTTCTATTGGTGGGTTTGTTTGAACGGCGTGCGCCCCTTGAAGAGGTCGACGCCAATCGTTTCCATTGGTGCCGTAATATTTGCGGTCCTGAAACGGGACCCTAAATTTGGAGAACTACCCATTTGAGTCTTTGGGGTCAACGAGCCTGCCAAGCTTCAACCTCCGGTAGCACCCGTTGACGGACGTGGCTTTCGAATCGGATCGTCGAACCAAACCAGCTGCGAATGCAGTCTTCCATCACCTATGCAGGCCAGCAACCCTCAACCCTAAACCCTAAACTAAACTAAACCCCAAGCATAGATGCCCTTACATCTCAGCCTGAACGCTAAACACTTTAAAACAATCAGAACGCTTGCTCCGAAACTTTAACTACAACTCCCACATCCTCAACCCTAACTACGAACTACAACTACTCTAAGGCCATGGTTCGAGTAGTCAGGTTTTCTGGATGGAAGGGTTGAGCCCTACACCCAAATCTGAGATGATATTCCCTCACTGATCAGCTTTCGGATTGCTGGATGCCTTAATCACAACCTCTTTCACGGTTGGGGTTTACTGCTAGGGTCTAGGGGTTCTTCTTTATGGTGTGTGGAAACGTCTGGACAGCGCGTGACACCGCGCAATCGAACCAAGCAAATCTAACCCACGGACATCCCGCAGCCAAGGTGAAGCGGTCTAACATCGGCTTGGCTTTTGCCGTGCAATGCCCCCTACTCTCATACTGTGCATGCCGGTGCTAACTTCGAAGGACCTGCCAGGACGAAACTGTCTTCTGCAGGTGTCGAAGTGTGCTGGTAGGACTTGGAATAGGTTTGATGTGTCAGGCTTACACGACTAGGGCGAAGATATGCTGAATGGAAAGTCTTGTATGTTCCAGGTTTTTCCCGACACCCTAAACCCTAAACCCCTAAACCCTAAACCCCTAAACCCCAAACCCCTAAACCCTAAACCCCTAAACCCCTAAACCCCTAAACCCTAAACTAAAAACCCTAAAGTTTCCTACAAATCCTCTCACGCAGCTCTACGAACCCTCAAACCCGAGGAACCGGTTCAGTGCGTTCTGCACTTCCCTAGCGCCAAGCCCCAAACTCCGACATCGCGACTTCTCGAAATAGATGGGTCCCAATTCAGGAACCTAAAAGAAGGCGGCACCCTTACAAAAAGGGTTTAGGCTTTAGGTAGGGGTTCAGGGGTTCAGGGTTTAGGGGTTTAGGGTTTCGGGGTTTAGGGTTGAAGTGTTTAGGGTTCAGGGTTCGGGGTTTAGGGTTTAAGGACCCTAACACCCTAAACCCTAAACCCTAAACCCTAAACCCTAATTTTTGGAGGAACTACCCATCTGCCCACCTCGCGATCGCATGACATACATTGACCGGAGTCCTCTGTGACAGTGAAGGCCCAGAGTTGAGGGATCAGGGTTTAGGGTTCAGGGTGCAAGGGTTAGGGTTCAGGGTTTAGGGTTTAGGGTTCAGGGTGCAAGGGTTAGGGTTCAGGGTTCAGGGTTCAGGGTTTAGGGTTTAGGGTTTAGGGTTTAGGGTTTAGGGTTTAGGGTTTCAGGCTCAGAGTTCAAGGTTCAGGGCTCAGGGTTCAGGGATTCGTGCTTGGGGCTCAAGGGCTTGAAACTTCGACTCTGGCTGAAGAGGGCTCTGCTTTGCTGCCACACTCCTTGACGGGTCCGCAGGCACCTCCATAATCGACCCTAAACCCTGAACCCCGAAACCCGAAACTGCTAAATCCTACACCCTAAACCCTAAACCCACCCAGGAGTCCCCAAAATAGTATAGATAATTATTAAGGCCCCTTAATTCGACCCTCTTGGTGGGTTTTAGCTAGCTTTCTCAAGCCCTAAACTCTAAGCTTAAAAGCCCTAAACTCTTGTTGAGGGTTCGGGGGCGTTCCGATCTCTCGGTCTGCACTGAAGGGTTTTGGGTGTCGCCGGCAGGCTGCCGGAAGCCCGAACCTCCCCACCATTGAGCCCTGAATGTAGGGGCCTTGATAATTAGAACAGGGTTTTGGGATATCTTAGCCCAGTCGCGAGCACATGGTTGACCTCGCAGCAGTGGCAAGTGGGATCTCGTAGGCAGAACTTGGGAAGTTGATCCTGCCACGCGGGAGCAGCATCTCTTGGTGGGTCTCATGGGAATCTTAGGTTTGGGTTCGGCGGATTTTGGGGGTGTCGGGAGCTTCGTTTTCTCAGGGGCTTTCGAGCTTTTTGGGAGTAGTTTTGGATGCCTAGGTTTTAGGGACATGACCGTATACATACTAGACTCATGCCTCAGCTTATTTAGACTTCTATCCCCCGTTGGACTTAGAATATACAAAAAGATTAACAAGCACAGCCAAGACCCTGTCTGAGGGATGTGGCTTTTCGGAGGGTCTGCTGCAGAGTCTTGACTAAACCGTCTTTTTGGATGGTGACTATAGGGTCTATTTGGAAGAAGTGCCTGTTCGTCCTGCAGGTCTTTTTACGTCATGGCTGGTGGTGCAAACGTCCACGTCCATGCACCTTGCCTGAACATTCGGTCCAGTATACGATGATGCTAGTTCTCAAGACCAGAGCGCTATGCTCGTACCGTAATACACCAGCTCCAACACTTCAGCATGCAACGCGACCTGCAGAGTCCGAATGTGTGAAGATAAGTCCATGTCATAAGAAGTTAGCTTGGCTCAGGGTTTACGATTCAGGTGCGACTTCCCCGTTGCAAGCTATCTTCAACGTGTGCTTAAGTTTATGCGGGTCACGGGGTTGTGGGCTCTTGCCGTCAAAGAATATCGTTCTGTCTTGACTCGTCAACCTCATCGTTTTGTCGGGTGTCCTTCAGGCCTCGCAACACGCCAAACCCTAAACCGAGCGCAGCAAGGACCCCTCTAAGGGGCCGAACTCTTCAACAACCCCTCGTGCGGTGAGAACCGATACTTGAGAGTTTACCGAAGTGAATAGGGTAGGGTTTAGGGTTTAGGGTTTAGGGTTTAGGGTTTAGGATTTAGGGTTTAGGGTCTAGGGTTTAGGGATCATGAGGGATCCCCAGACCAACCTGCCCTGAATGGTAGGATAGTCAAACAGCTACTTAGGGTTCGGGGTTTAGGAGTTTATGGTTCGATATACGGACGTACAAACCGAACTCGTATATCCAGACAGCACCACTCATTTAGGATGTCGAGTTTGTCGACGTGTGTCATACGGGCTCATAGGGGCCGTACTAGTAACACTTGGATTGGTTCAGGGTCTTCGGTTTAGGGTTTCTGGTTTGGGTTTAGGGTTTAATTAGGGATTAGGTTTCAAGGTTTACGGCAGCATCGTAGAGCAACATGGACTACGTGGGGATGCGAATACTGATTAGTCAGATCCCCATGCTACACTATACCTCCCACACAAACATGTTAAACTCGCTGTTGCTTAACACTATGCGAAACGGAAGTGGGTGACCCTGAGCCCAGACATACGCACAAAAGCACAAATAAACAAACACAAAAGAACAATCAAGCAAATAACCAAACAACTAAACAAACAAAGAAACAAACAAACACCAACCAACCGACCGACCGACCAACCAAATCAACAACCAACCACCAAACAAACAAGGAGAGAGAGAGAGAGAGGGGGACAGACAGAGACAGAGAGACGCTCATGCACATCTGACCCTAAACCCTAAACCCTAAACCCTAAACCCTAGCTGAAATGCTGAAGGCACGTTCGAAGCCTGAACACCAATGCTGCATAATGTAGGGGCCTTAATAATTCTAACAGGGCTTTGAGGTATGTGATACTGGAGTTATAACAAGGAACTCCAAAATGGTATAGGTAATTATTTAGGCCCCTATGTTATTCCTCAACACCTGGCATCAGCATTGCTTCCAATCCCTGCTGGGCAGTTGCGACCCTTGATTCTTCCAGCCTGATGAAGCCGGGGTTTAGGGTTTAGGGTTGAGGGCTTAGGGTTTAGGGTTTCTTTTAAACTTGGTACACTTCAGGGTTTAGGGTTTAGGGTCCTAAACCCTGAATCCTCACTTATGCAAGAATTCGGCCCTTGCTACATCCCTGCATCCTGAGTCCCAGACCCGAGGAAGTGCTACTGTGCTTGGGGTGACTTGGTTTAGGGATGCAATATAGGGGGCCTTAATGATTACCTAAACTATTTTTTGGGGGGTTGCTTATTGTAATTATAATATAATGGGCCCCAAAACCCTATTCTAACTATTAAGGCCTCTAAAGTGAAGGGGGTAGGGGTTTAGGTCAAGAAAACCAGTCCTTCATTCCTTCCAACTTGCAGAAGAAGTCCCGCAAGAAAGCAGCACCCACCGGAGCGACGATGGAAAAGAGACCGCAGAGCCAGATGGCCGCGTTGATCGGTGTGTTCAAGTAGGCTTTAGGCTCTTGCCTTGCAGGGCTTTGGGTTAGGAGGCGGCAGGCCCTAAACCCTGAAACCCTGAAACCCTAAAGACTATAGAGTTTAGGACGTCGGGCTGTAGAGTTGAGGGCTTCGGGTTTCTGGTTTACGGTTCATGGTATAGGGCCTCTTTACACCAAACTACAACAGAGACCCTAAACCCTAGACCCTGAGCCCTAAACCGTTAGGTTCTTTAGGGTTCTGGTAGGGCCCCGAGCTTAGGGTGGGGCTGAAGCAGGGGTCTTGAGGTTCAGGGTTTCACGGCAACTTCCTAAACCCCGACCCGTTACCCAAAAAGCTCCAAAAGATCGAATCATCAGGTCCATTGATTACGGATAGTAGCTATCTAGGTCTTTTCCTTGGGAGAGCATGTGATGATTAGCCCCTAAACCCTAAACCCCAAACCCTAAACCCTAAACCCTAAACCCCAAACCCTAAACCCTAAACCCTAAACCCTAAACCCTAAAGCCTAGGTACTTGGGCCCTAAAGGTTGGGCTTCAGGGTTTTGGGGGGGCTGGAGCTTGATTTCCAGGTTTTTTAGCTCGGGGCTCGGTGTCCATCCGTTGTACAGTTATAGTATATACTTAGGCCTTTTAGGGTTTAGGGTTTAGGGTTTAGGGTTTAGGTAAAGTACTCCCTTTTGAGGCACTTTAGGGCCAAAGTACATACTACATGGGGACATGGAACCTCAGGGCAGAAGCGGTTTAGGGTTTAGGGTTTAGGGTTTAGGGTTTAAGGTTTAGGGTTTAGGGTTTAGGGGTAAAACTACAAAAAGTATTCGGCCATCCGCTGAAATAGCAGGAAAAAGGGGGATTCGCAACCAGACCCTCTGCAGAATGGGATCCTTACCTCGAGCCCCAAAGCCCCAGAATCCCATGAGACCTTAGCAAACCTCTTATAACTTGCTGATATGGGCTTTGATTAAACAAAAAACCTGATTCCTGAACCTCACGCCCTGACCCCTACAGCAACCTAGGGTGTAAGATGCCCCCAAACCCTATTTTATAATGACTAAGGCCCCTATATTGTTAACTGAATCCGAGAAGCTGGGGTCGGATCACCAGCATCGCGGCAGAGCACATGAGGAAGAGGCAGGCCGCGCAAGGCCCGAGGAAGGTCGGGCGGATGTCAAGCTCCTTGGGTGTAGGGTTTCGGGTTTACGAGTTTAGGGTTTTAGGGTTTAGGGCTTAAGGCTTAGAGTTTAGGGTTTAGAGTTTAGGGTTCAGGGTTTAGAGCTTAGGGTTCAGGGTTTCGGGTTTAGGCTTAGTAACTTAGGTCCTTTGCTACTGAAGGTCTAGGGTTCAGAGCTCCGGGTTTAAGGCTTTAAAATAGAAGCCTTAACTACCAAGATTATTCTTTATAGGGTTCCTTATTCCCTAAACCCTAAACCCTAAACCCTAAACCCTAAACCCTAAACCCTAAACTCTACGATAAAGGAGCCTAAAGCCGCTAGTCTCATCATGGAGGCCCCTACTTTAGGTCCCTTTGGGCCTAGGGTTTAGGGTTTAGGGCTTACCCTAAACCTCTCAACCCTAAACCCTCAGGGCTTACCCTAAACCCCCAAACCCTAAACCCTAAACCCTAAACCCTAAACCCTAAACCCCTAAACCCCTAAGCCCTACAAGCCCTCAGGGGAGCGTTACAGGAAGCGCAAAATGCCGAAGCAAGGCTCCTGGGCTACGGTCTCCCTCCCCTAATGGTTTAGGGTTTAGGGTTTCGGGGATTAGGGTTTAGGGTTTAGGGTTTAGGGTTTCGGGGATTAGGGTTTAGGGTTTTGGGTTTAGGGTTTAGGGTATTGGGTTTTGGGTTTAGGGTTTAGGGTTCAGGGTTTAGGGGCTTAGGGTTTAGGGGTTTAGGGTTTAGGGCTTCGGGCTTTAAGGCTCAGGGTTTAGGGATAGCCTAAGCTCCTCTAACCTACTTTTGTTGTGCCGTCCACGACACTCACGAGCCTAAACTGCCCTGGCGCAGCTTCTTTCGCCGCTTCTTTGGGTCGATCTTTATATTCTACGTATAGGCCATGGCCGTTAACAAGAGCCTGACGCAACAGCAAGAAAAGTCTGACAGTTTAGTTTAACACAATGGCTGAAGGCTTGGATGCTCTTGTCCTATGTATGACGGTTTTCCAAATTCGGGTGCCAAATGGGTGCGGGTCCCTTCTCGGTCCCCAAAATGGTACATCATTGTTATGAAAAGGCCCTAATAAAACACACGCCTTTAGAGAACTGCCCATATAAGACCCCCCAAAAGAACAGGCCTAAAGTCTGCTAGCTTGCGTTCAGCAGAGTTTTAGTTCAGGCCTAGGGTTTTGAAGGTTTGGGGGTTTTGGGGCTTTGGGGTTTGGGGGAGTCGGGGTTTTGGGGATAGGGGGACAAGAGCTAAACAACAAGACATTCCTGAACTCGACACTCCACACCCCAACTGCAATCTCCCCACATAGTCCCTTTGATCACTTTTGATTTTGGTTTCTTCTAGTCAAGGTTCAAGAACTTTGGGGACCCTAAACCCTAAACCCTAAAGCCTAAACCCTAGGGCGGGGCTTGAAGCAATTTTTCCAAGCTTTGCAAGGTTCCCAGCCTTCGGGGGCTGACTTCTCCACGGCAACGAGGCGGGGCGATGAAATCTACCCTGCCCTGCATCATAGGGACCCCTTAGTGGGGTAGCGGGCTAGGGTTTAGGGTTTAGGGTTTAGGGTTTAGGGTTTAGGGTTTAGGGTTTAGGGAGGGCCGGGTAGGGAGCCTTAATACCAGTAATAAGCCAAGACCCCCCGTCTTCACAAGGACGGTGGTATTAGGGTTTGGCAAGGGAGGCTCCATGTCATTCTCAAGGACTTTACACAGGGGCCCTAAGAATTAGAAGAGGGTTGTGGGCAATATCCTCATATACCATATGCTCATAGTAAGAAGCCCTAATGCTTTTTCCGAGGTTCCGTGGCACGTTCATCATGGCTTCTCAGAAATGCAGCCAGCTCGAAGACGCCTCTGCTTTCGAACCAGGGGCTTAGGGCTTTCAGGGTTGAGGTTCATGTAGGTTCAAGGCTTGCAGGAAAACATATATTGCAAGATACTATACCTCCGTCATATAACATAAAAATACTCTATGAAATACCATCATAACTCTAACATACAACAGATACTATAGCATACTATAAGATACCCTAAACATGGCTGAAAGCTTTGGACCTGAGGGTTCGGGGTTTAGCGTTCAGGGTGTGCGTTTATTTCGAGCCTTGACCCGCAGAGTCTTCTGACTGGGCTTTAGGGGTTGAGGGGTTTAGGGGTTTAAGGGTTGAGGGGTTTAGGGGTTGAGGGGTTTAGGGTTTGGGGACGGTCTCCAAGGTAGAAGGTGGAACAACATGAGGAACTACAGTGAAGACTTTTGGTATATGTCGTCAGAGTTTAAGTAAACCCTAAACCCGAAAAAGGCTTCAAACCCGGAACCGGAAGACTTTCGGGCCAAGCCAGCTGCCCGAGCGTCAAAAGACCTAGAGGCTGAACACCATCGGGTTTAGGGTTTGCCTTAAGAACCCAAAACCCACTTTTTTGTAGGTTCTTATTATAAACCCTAATATGGGATTTATAGGGACCCTACAAAAAAGTGGGTTTGAGGTTCTTAAGGTAGGGTTGCAGAAATTTAACAACAAGCAGACTTAGATACAGACTTAGGTACAGTAGAATCTACCGCAGGTTATACTAAAACAACCTCGTTCCCTTTCTTTGGGTTATCCGGTGCAACGACAATCAATCTCCTGCAGATTCTCTTGGCCGCAAACCCTAGACCTTTAGCCCAAAACCTCTAAACCCATCAGTTGTGAAGGTTTCCTATGATAACACAGCCCAGAAAAAGGCCAAATAGCACCAGAGTCCCCCTAAATTCTAAGCCCTAAACCCAGATAAAGCCGAAGAGCACCACAGCCGCTGGAAGTAGGTCTCGTCCCAGCATACCAGCATCGACCTGACATAGCAGGCTCCTTGTGATGGGCTTGGGCTTTAGGCTTTAGGGCTTCGATTTTTTGGTTGAGGGTTTTGGGCTTCAGGTTACAGTAAGGGTTTAGGCTTTAGGCCGTTTGGGTTTTGGGTTTTGGGTTTCGAGTTTCGGGCTTAAGGGTGCAAGGGCTTATTCCGTGTGGTGTAAAGGCTTGGGGTTTGGGGTCTCGGACGATGAACTAACATGAATTATCAATAAACCCTTCGGTTACACCCCGCCACACTACACGGCCTCCTAAGGCTCAAGTACAAACCAGTCTCAACACCGGCGCTTCAGATTTGGGGCTTAGGGTTGTTGAGGGTTTAAGGTCAGACAGTCTGAGGGCAATTCCGATAGCTAGCAACTGCAGAGCACGAATACAGATGATTGAACGTGCTGCTCGCTTTATCCACCCTTAACCCTAAACTCTAAACCGTTCTGCTGGGATCAGAAAGCTTTCAGTTCTTGTGAAAGCTAGCTGGATCAGTGCCCTGACCGTCTCAACTTCCTGATTGAGGCAGGTGCTTCGAAGCAGGCCAAACCACTGAACCCTAAACAAACCCCTAACCTGCAACCCCTAAACCCTAAGCCCTAAACACTGAACCCTAGGGTAACCCTAACGTTGTCGGGGCTTGCCCAGACCTCCTCCAACTAAGGGTACATTGAGTTTGGGTTTAGGGTTTAGGGTTTTGGGGTACATGAGGTCTTGGTGGGGTTTGGCATGTCTGGTCAAGTTTGTTGGGCTTCTGATTTATCACCACAAAACCCTTGTTGCAGATGGAAGAACAGTTGCAGCTGCGCTCCAAAATTCCGTCAAACAAAACGGCGCCAAGCACTGTAGTTGCGATACCTTTACACCATCGCACCTCAACGGTAGTCTACAGACCCTAAATTCCTGAAGCCCCAAAATCCTTGAACCTCATCTCCCAACGGCGCCTTGAATTCTTCAGAATGCCACCGATGCTAAGAGCGCCAGCGAATTTCAATTCTGGATCGTTCCTCAGACGACTTTCGGACCAGGATCGGGGATGGAGGGCTCGGGGCTCCTGGGGCCCAGGGTTGCTGGTTTAGAGTTTTGGGCTTAGGGTTTAGGGTGATGGTTTAGGGTTTTGGGCTTATAGGGTTTAGGGTTTAGGGTGATGGTTTAGGGTTTGGGGCTTATAGGGTTTAGGGTTTAGGGTGAGGGTTTAGGGTTTTGGGCTTATAGGGTTTAGGGTTTAGGGTGAAGGTTTAGGGTTTAGGGTTTAGGCTTTGGGCTTTAATGTTCAACAACGTAGCATTCGTGCCAAGAGCGCGGCGAGAATTGACCCCCGCGAACCTGCAGACATCCACGAGCCCCAACCCCCAAACCCCGAATTCCAAACCAACGCTCAAAAACTCTGGCAACCCTCTCGGCTAGCATCGAAACGAACCAGGACCAATAAGGTAGCCCAGAAACCTGCAGAATTGGACTGGAGGTCAGGATATTGAGGGTTCTATACGACTGTACTGGGGAACACTTATACACAACAACAGTGTATTACTAATACTAACCATCCGAACACCCATGTTCTGCACCGCAAACAGCCATCTTACTTCGTGCACTACACCAGCAACCATCAAGACGAAGCCCTACAAAGTCACGGCTGTAGGATTCAGAATCCAATCGGGCTTTTCTGCGTGCCTTCTTGTTGGGGCTTAAAGGGTGACCCTAAACCCTAAACCCTAAACCCTAAACCCTAAACCGGCTTAGGGTTGAGGGTTTAATTAAAGTTTTGGGGTTTGGGGCTTCCGGTTGTCATCAACAGCCACAACTCAAGCAGATACAATTTAAGCCCTGAGCCCTGAAACACTACACGGACCCTAAATCCCTAAAGCCTAAGCCCTAAAACTCTGCCTGAAAAATCCTGCAGGCATGTAAACTCGGCGTTTGCATTTGGTGCACTCTGCAGAACGCTTAGGGAAAATATCCCGGAGCCCTACACTCAAGCTCATCCCTCCAGACCTGCACAAGGAACCCCAAAGCCTAAACCCCGGAAACCTAAACCCTAAACCCTAGACCTTGACCCTAAAGGCCCTAAAGGAACCCTGCCCGTGATACCCTCAATGAAGTCGAGGGTCTGATTGATGCAGATGCGATCGAAAAAGACACGCTTCTGAGGCTGCCACAAGAAGAAGGTTAACCTGACTGAGGTGTTCAGGATTTACCCAGCACCCCATACTGAAAACCTGTTTTCTTCCGCCTCCTGACGATGATTTCCGTCATTCTCTGCCCTCAGGAACCCTGAAGGAACCCTTGAAAAGTAAGCCTTTACGTTGATGCTGATGCTTAGGGAAAGCGTTTTGTGGTGGAGCTTGTCGGGCCCTCAACCCTACGAGCGCTAAGCCTTAAGCCCTACTAATAAGCTCTATAAGCCCTATGTCCCTATGCCCTAAAGTCCACATGATCACGATTAGGGTTTAGGGTTCAGGGTTAGGGCTTATAGCGCCACAAGCAGACAAGCGACACAGTCAGGGTAGGGGCTTATAGCGCCACAAACAGACAAGTGACACAGTCACCAAGGTTCCGGAGAGAACACACCATCCGCCGGCGGACTTGCCAGCCTTTACCACAAAAGGCGCGGACTCAACCGGGATTGTAGAGTTTCGGGTGCAGGGGTTTCGGGTCCAGAACCCATCAGCCAACAGCACTCGACACACTCACAACTCCACACAAGTAACCTAGAACTGGCATGTGCAACACTGGAGCCTTGCCAACCCCAAACAAACAAAACACAAAACAACAAAAACAAAAACAACAAAAACAATAAGAAGCGAACCACTCATCCGCCGAATCCCAGACCCTAAAAGCCTGGAGCGAACAAACGGCGGCATAACCCTTCGGGCTTTGGGGCATTATGGTTTAGGGTTTAGGGTTTAGGGTTTCGGGTTTTGGGGCATTATGCACCACACTCTGCACATTGGATTCTACTGCGCTGTGGGGGCTCCTGTACTGTTGAGATAGAGCATCGGGGCCTGAACCCCACGACCAAACTTTGAATTTTGGAACCCTAAGGGTCCAAAGGACCCAATAATAAGGTTTAGGGTTTAGGGTTTAGGGTTTAGGGTTTAGGGTTTGGGGCCTTCATGTCTTAGGGGCTGAGTACCCTAGACCCAGAAAGGTTAACCTTTTGAATTATAGTAGGATTATAAGAGCCCAAGGTTAAAGGTTACCTACTCAGCCACTAAGATAAGGTACTTTGGTTGCGGATAGTAGTTTTCTAGGTTAATATTTGGGAGAGTATATGATTATTAGGTACTTGGACCCTTAGGGGAAATTAGTCCGGGATTCGTCCGGGAATGTAGGGGCCTAATACTTCTAAATAATCAGGCTAGGGTGTTGGGCTTCTTCATAGCATAACTCTAATACGGAGCCCTTAGGAATTGTGTTGGTAATGATTCAGGCTTCTGCACTAGCAACAAATGCAGAAAGCCTCCTGTCCTACCCACGAACACGAGAGCCTGAGATCGAAACCGCAACCGTGAAGCCTAGTATAGGGGCCTTAACTATTGTACTGGGGTTTTGGGATACCTTATTCTCTAGCTGCAATAAGGAAACCAACAAGGGAGTCTTGGTTAGTTTCTTTAAGCCCCTATATTCATCCCCAACCCTAGACCCTAAACCGCAACCACCAAACCTCAACCCTGAATCTCACAGTGTGACCCCAGACTCACCGCTCTCCTGCCATGGGGGAAGCCATCCAGCAAGAACGAGGGGAAGGACCAGCACGGAACCTACTGTTCCCATGACCTTGGGACTGGAGATTGGGTTTGGGGTTTAGGGTTCAGGGTCCTTGTAGGTGAGAAAGCTATTCAGATTGGTTTGGGGTTGAGGCTCGAGGTTATGTCAGGGTTGAAGACTGGGGTTTGGGGAGGCAGGTTCAGGGTTTACGGCTGCTTCGGGTTTCAGTCTTAGGGCCAATGGGAAAATGGTCGTACTGCGACATGTCAGGGGCCAACAGAGCAACAGAGTCTTAGACGGAATCCCAACACTACTTCAGGACCCTTCAAAGCCCGTTAACGAAGCCCTGATGGTCCTTCCTGGTGTGCATTTTCGTTGTCCCTAGTAGAAGGTAGTTACGGGATGGGGGAACGGGGGGTTGGTGGTCGGGGATACAGGCGAGGCTACCCAAAAGAACGCTCAGGCTTAGCCACCCCGGGTTGTTTAAGAGTGGAGCATGCATGGGATCCTTGATGCAAAGGATTTAAGAGACAGAATGGGGCTTGGTTAGGTGTGTATGTATTCGTATGTATGCATGTATGCATGTATTTATGTAAGGACACACACACACACACAGAGACACACATATACATCAACAAACACCGAACATTGATAAATTACGACTAGCACGAGTAGCAGTAATAACACACCCGAATTACAATGGCGGTTAGTAACAACAGCAATGATACTAATTCGTGTGCAAATACTAAACGTGCTCGTATGCGCAATTACAAAAGCCACCAAGATAACAACAGTAACTGAAATAATGATTGCAACAAAAATAATAATAAGGTCAACGAGAACATAACGCAGTAAACACAAACACATATTGGTGCTACTCTAAACAAACCTGACAAACATAGTAACTAGTAATGTTTCCATCGTTACTACTTGTCATTCATAAACTATGAAAGTCTAATAGCATTATCAGTAATAGCCATAATGCTAATATTAACAACAATACGAATAAGAACAACAACAGCAATAATGCTACATCTCATAACATCATCATGTATACTAACAGTGCAACAACAACACAGTAACAGTAACAGTAACAGTAACAATGACACAACATCGACAGTGAAAGTAACACCAACGATAAAACAAAAACTGCCAGTAACATTAGCAACAGCAATGACAATCACAATCACAGTAACAATGATACGAATAGCAATGTTGATAATAACAACAAACCCGTAATAACCGTACACAAGACTAAAACGTACATGCTAATAACATAATAATAGCAGCAGACAGAAGCATAATCATAAGGAGCCACCAAGAACATAACGTATAGCCTAAACTCCTGAAACCAAGTGCCCAACTAAGGGTTTGCTTTGGAAGTGTGCAGCATCCCACTCGTCATTTTGCAAACCTGTCCCTTGAAACCTTTCGCCCGTACAGGTTACTTGGAGGTTCATGGGTAGCTATAAATAGGGTTATAAGTAGGATAACTATACTTATAACCCATATTAGGGGACTTATAACCCTACTTATAACTGCCCATGAACCTCCAAGTAGGTTACTCACTATGCCCTGAAAATTTAAGGGTATCCGTTTCTATTGCTCCGGATTCATGTGCCCCACCCACCCCCTCCCCCCCAAGCCCAACCAACAACGACATGATAGTACTGCTGCGGAAGGCTTGTGGGGTTTTGTGGTTTGGGGAAAGTGAGACTCTGCAGACGAAGGCCCGACTGCCAGGGTTGAGGGTTTAGGGTTCTTGGGGTTTTAGCCCAAAGCCCTGAACCCTTTACGTTTAGGGTTCACGATACTTAACCCTAAACCCTAAACCCTGGGATTTAGCGTTCACCAAAGCGTCTTAACCCCAGGCCCTAAACCTTTGGGTTTAACGCTACTAAACCCTAAACTGTGCGGTTTAGGGTTCACCAAAGCAAAGGAACCACGGCCGCGAGGCCGTTGTTCAAGACCAAGAGCAGAAGCACCTGCTCAGGCAACCCGGAACGGAAGACAAAGTTAGGACCCTGAACTCATCGGGACCCAGGGTTTAGGGTTTAGGGACTTAGGGGTAAAAGGGGGTAGGGGCTTTAATACCAGCAATTAAGGACCCAATAAGGCCTATTTAGGGCCTATTCCAGGAAGTATAGGCCCCTACACCCTGCTCCCCCTTACCCTCCTTAGGGTCCCTATGATGAACTCCAGCCAGGGGATCTCAGGCTTCGGTTTAGGGTTTAGGGCTTAGATGGTATTACAGGGTTTAGGGATCCAAGGGCTATTGTGGTAAATACTGTGGCCCTGAAGTACATATATAGGGACTACTTTAAGGCTAAAGTATGGAATGTATGTATATACACACACACATATATATATATATATATAAGTATTAGTACATGGACCCTAAGGGCAGGATTTGGTTCAGGGTAGGGTTCTAACATTTGCGTAAGCTGAGCCCAGGCAGCCTTGCGAGCGACCAAAGCGGCGCGGATGGCTCGCATAGGCTTTTCGAAGAAACCTTAAAACCCTAAACCCCCCTCAGATTGCAAAGCCCAGCCCTACACCTTAAACCAGCGGGGAGCACCATGATGGCTGACAATGCAGAGGAACTCTGTGACGATAAATTAGAAGGGGTACGTAGGTTTTGTACCAGAACATTCTCCCAAACGTCGGTACCCTAAACCGCTATATCAACTCCTAAGCCCCACACCCCTCAAACCTATATCACTCGAAACCCGAGACACTTTCTGTTATGCATTGAGACCTGCATGCTTCCCCGTGAGCTACAAGCCATATCTCTTATGTAGGGCCTAAATAATCAGGATGGTGGTTCGGGAGACTTTGTGGTAAGCAATCAATATATATATATATATATATATATATGTATGTTTCATACATATATACTAGTTCATGGTTGGGGTAGTATTAAAATTCTAAATAAATAAAATAAATAAATAAATAAATAAATAAATATATATATATATATATATTCTCCTTATTGGGTTTAAGTACCCTTAAACATGTACAATGTTACCCAACTATGATAAAGTTATATATATATATATATATATATTCGGGACTCTGTATGCACCTAATTATTACCCAAACCTTCGTCCCTGAGCCCTGTATACCCTCCCGACTCATGAAACACCGGCCTTGTATAAAGTGTGACCCTTCCAGCTGTGGCTCCAGAACTGACCAATGGCTTTGCAAGGTTTGCTCTTCCTGGGTGCCGAAGCAAGGCACAATGCAGGGGCCTTAATAATTAAAATAGGGTTTGGGGGCGCATTATACTATACTTATAGTACGGACCCCCCCCCCAAAAAAAAAAATATATATAAATAAATAAATAAATAAATAAATATATATATATATATATATATATATGGTACAGGTAACTATTAAAGCCCCTATATTAGAGCTTCCTTGAAATGAAGGCGTGTGTATGCTTGGAGGGGTACAAGCAAGACAACTCAACTTGTCATGAGGATTGGATGTTGAGACTCATAGGTAGTTGTCTAAATTAGGGTCCCTTTTAGGGCCTTTTTTTTATAAGGGTGCCGTACTATATTGGGGACCTAAAAAGGGACCCTAATTTAGAGAACTGCCCTCATAGGGACTACGGAGCAAGGAGTTCTTCGTGGCTTGAAACTGGAGCCGTGTATGGCCCGCTCGCAGCATGGAAGTAAAGCGAGCAAAGAGCAGAAAGCAATCGATTTTGTGATCCTAAACCCTACCTATCAATGGAGACTGTAGGTAAACCCCCAAACCCTAAATAAACCCTAAACCCTAAACCTCCCCAAACCCTAAACCCCCCTAAACCCTAGACCCGATCCCCTCTTGGTGGCTTGGGAGGAGCCTGGCTAGCGGTGACCATCCGCCAATGCAGAAGGTTCATTTAGACCCCTTTAGTACACCCACTCGGCCTTAATAAGGATTCTCATTCTGATTGGGATCCTCATTCAGGCTCTTCAGGACAGGACGATGACATATCCCCCACCCATCTCCGATGTCGAGATCCTCGAGATGTTTGACCATCCCCTCGGGTTCATATAAAACACACAATGACAGTAACTCCTAAGGAGCTCTTCGCACTTCTGAAGAGATTCAGTCCAACGTATACTTGTCCCAAAAGAATCTCTGTCTTTCAAGTTGAAAAAACTGCAAATATACACAGACGGGCTACACGCTACCATGCAGGCCCTGTGCCACTTCCATTGAAACCTGGCGTGCCACCAGAACGAGAATCCCAAGAAACCAAGCCTGCAAAGGAAGCATTTGAACAGAAAAGCTTTCTCATCCTGGACCGTAACCGTATACCCTGAAGCATACGTTAGGCTAAACCCGTGGCGTTCCATAATACAAGCTTGTCCCTGAAACCTTAATCGGCCATGGGGTTTAGGCTTACCCTTATGGTGGGTCCTTGCGGTATAATCAGTAGAAAGTGGCTTGAGGGGCGGGGAGGGGGTCTAGGTAACCCAAGACCCGAAGCCCCAAACCCGAAACCTTAAACCCAAACCCCTGAACCCGAAACCCCTACTTAGCTTGTGAAGCACTGTTTCCTCTAAGGCGACTGCTTCCAGTGAGTACAAGGCGTACCAGCTCACGGCCGAGCAGCGCAAACGCATCCTCGCTGTCCTTCTCAGTCCGCAAGGCACGACCCAGACCTGCTTGCAAAGGTTTAATGTATAAAGCGGCGCGTTAATCATTAGAATCGGTTTTCGGGATATAAGATACCATCATTAAGCCCCCAAAATAGTATAGGTCGTTTTTTTAAAGCCCCTATATTGCCTAAACCCTAACCTTAAGTAGGACTCTGCTACCATGGTTTAGTGCCTCAATACACAAACGAAGGAGGTGGGTGATGCTATACATGTCAAAATCATGGTCCCTTTGGGGATCCCTCTACAATTCTACTCATAACCCGGCACACTATAGCCTGGGAAACCCAAACGAGGCCCTACGGACAGCCACAATATTTATATGTATGTGTATACACACATATGTGTGTATGTATGTATGTATGTATGTATGTATGTATGCATGCATGCATGCATGCATGCATGTAGCTAGCTAGCTAGCTAGCTAGCTAGCTAGCTAGCTAGCTAGCTAGGTAGGTAGGTAGGTAGGTAGGTAGGTAGGTAGGTAGTTAGGTAGGTAGGGAGGTAGGTAGGTAGGTAGGTAGGTAGGTAGGTAGGTAGGTGCGTGTGTGTGTACGTATGTATGTATGTAACTGTATGTATGTAACTGTATGTATGTATGTATGTATGTATGTATGTATGTATGTATGTATGTATACATGTCTGTAGGTATGTATGTATGTATGTATGTATGTATGTACGTATGTACGTATGTACGTATGTACGTATGTATGTATGTATGTATGTATGTATGTATGTATGTATGTATGTATGTGTGTATGGAGTATGTACATACGTATGTGTATATATATATATATACACATATGTACATACAAAAACATCAGAATGACATACTGAGTACTATAAGGGCTGCTACTCTTCGTAGCTATTGCTGCACCATCCAAAAACCCTATGACACAACCGAACAGCCGTTATACGACAAACTTCAAAGGGAAGTTTCATAATCTCTAGAATAGGATGGCGGGTGTCCTATTCCATAAGCATAGCAAGGAAGGCCCTAAACCCTGAATCCTAAACCCAGAGGATACTAAAATCCAATTATTGAGGCCCTCTAATTACCCTCTATTGGGTAGTTTTCTACATTAGGGTCCCGTTTAGGATCCTGTTTATACTGGTGCTGTACTATTTGGGGGACCCAAAAAGGGACCCTACTTTAGAGAACTACCCCTATCTATCTATATATATATATATATGGGGGGGGGGGCTAGCATATATATATATATATATATAGATAGACAGATAGATAGATAGATAGATAGATAGATCGATAGATAGATAGATATACATATATACACATACACACATTATTTGTCAGTAGGCACCCGGCCCAAGAGCCTAACGGGGAGATCAAAGAGGGTTTAGGGTTTAGGGTTTAAGGTTTTAGGTTTAAGGTTTAGGGTTTAAGGTTTAGGGTTTAGGGTTTGAGGTTTAGGGTTTAGGGTTTGAGGTTTAGGGTTTGAGGTAGGGTTTAGGGTTTAGGGTTTAAGGTTTAGGTTTAGGGTTTAGGGTTGTGGCGCAATGTGGCACGATGGCTTCGTGGTTCAGGGTTTCAGGGGTGTAAGAGGTTTAGGGGGATTGGGGGTTTGGGGTTTTCGGCTTAGGGCTTTGGGGGCTTTGGGGTTTATAGGCACCAGAACTCAAGACCCTAAACCCTAAACGCCCTAAACCTTAGACCCCAGATGACTAAACCCTAAACCCTAAACCCTAAATATTTTCAGAGGCTTGGCATGAATCCACTGAATCTGGCTTAGGCTCTATTTCCGTTCGCAGGGCGTAGGGTCTGCTTGGGGTCGGGCAAGAAAGGATGGAAGATGTTTGTTTAGGGTTTAGGGTTTAGGGTTTAGGGTTTAGGGTTTCGGGTTTCGGGTTTTTGGTTCGAAGCAACGGATTCCCAGACTGAACATTTTAGGGTTCCTACACTTGCTACGTCTAGGAGCCCTCACAAGTGAACCTTATGAATCCGAAACCCGTAATACGTCTAGGAACCCTCAACTCTGAACCTTATACATCCGAAACTCTCAGTTCAATCATCGGTCCAAACTGCCGAGGAACGATTCAGTACCACAGCTGCAGACGTCGAACGCAACATCGCTGGCTCCACCAGCAGCATGTCCTAAGTTGCCCGGTTGCGGCTTAGAACTTATATTTTAGGTTCAGGGTCCCGGGTTTCGGGCCCCTAACCCAGGGTTTGTGGCCAACCCGGATCTTTGGGACATCTTTCGCCCATCCTTGAGCACGCCGAAACTGCCACAAGGCCTAGAACCTCCACATTCGACATCATTCGACCTTAGATTCGAGACACATCGACCCCAAACCCAAAAAACCCAAAACCCTGACCCGAATAATGTAGGGGCCTCAATCTTGGGAAGGGGGCTCCATGAAAAACTCATCTGAGCCCTCCTCCTTCCAATCCCTAAAGCACTAAACCTGAAATCTCCGCGCCCTGGTAAAACTTGCTCCTGACAAAACTTACGACCATGATTATATAGGACATTCAAACTTTATAAACACCGAAAGCCTATTCTAAGGACTAAGGCACAAATTGAACCCCAACAGTACCGCTCATAGATAGAGCCATTTTCAGGAACCCAATTGTTAAGTACCAAGGCCCCAAAACTACGGTAGATGCGAAGCGTCGGTGACGATGCGTGCACACATTTTTGCAGAGCTGCCTGCAGCAGAGGTTCCGATCAGACGAGGAGTCCGGCACTGATAGAAGAACTCAACAGTATGTGCTTCACGTTGTCTTCGGTGTGTTGTTGATGCTGGTGGTAACAAATTTCAATTCAAGGGCCCGAAGCATTCGAATAGGGGTTTTGGGAAGTTGGACCCCTATGTTATACTTGCTTGCCCAGTTTCTCGAAGGATCTACATGTGAAGTGTTGAGTGTAGTACCCCGAAACGATTGAAGGTTACTTAGTAGAGTAGAGGGGTGTGGACGGCTAGAGTGGGGTTCCGTGGCATATCATATTCTAAGTACTCAAAATCAGGAACCTAAAAATAGTCAGTCCTTTATCTTAGGGGCTGAGTACCCTAGCCCCAAAAAGGTTAACCTTTCGAATTATAG